ATATAAGTCTTCTTGGATAAAAATTACAGTGAATTAATAGATAGGACGACATAGTTTCGGTTTACACTAGTGTTAAAAAGATAGAAATATGTAAGATTTGCATTAGTATAAAAAAGTTAGAAATAGGTCAAGCTTATACTAAAGGAAGCCATAGGTCAGGTTTACGCTAGGGTAAAAAAGTAGACATAAATTCAGTTCACACTAAAGTAAAGAAACATGATATCAGTACAATTTACACCAGTGTCAAAAATACAGAACCATGTTTGATTACACTTGAGACGGTAGACATTGATTGGGTTTACAAGTTACTACCCGGAAGACAGCCGTTTTTGTGGAGGGAGGTTTTTACCTGCCTACCGTGGATGCAGTCGGCGTATTCGTAGCTCCATCGGCAGGACAAGAACTCATGTAATATTGAATAGGTCTTTTGCATGAGAATTCTTGAATAGCTGGCATATGACATTAACCGGAAGACGTTTTAAGTGAATAAGAACAACGAAAAACTGCTACTAGCAATCAGAAAGAGAAAAATGAAATTTCCGAGACACACGAGGAAAGAAGGCCTGGAGTATTTAACACTCACATGGCATAGTGAAGACAAAAGAATCAGTTATAAACAGCGAGTAACCTAAAGTTTTGGGCATATGGATGGTGGAATAAGGCCCGCAAAAAAAGAGTATTAAAGAGGTAAAAGGTATTTAAAGTTACTTAAAGCCAAAAAATAAAAATAAATATAAAAATAAAAAAAATAAAAATAAAAAAGGAAGTTGTAGAGAGTTATGATCGCCTGCATCCTGAAATGATTTCTATTTATAAAGCTTCCAAAATTATTTAACAGAAATGAGTAACATTCCATCAGGATAGTGTCAGACTGACCGCATTTTTCTTTTGTGACCAAGAATATTGTTACAACTTGACGGGAAAGTTTTCATTCACCCGTTGTATTCCCCAGATAACGCTGCCATTTCATTCTGGTTTCTATGGTATTTTGTTAATGGAAATAAATAAAATTCCTTGGATGAAGACAACTTGTGCATTTTCTTTTCTTTTTTTTAGTGAGAAAGAAAAACGTTTTCGAGATGATGGAATTATGAAAAAAATGGCACATCACAATGAAAGAAAACGAAAAATATACAGTTTATAAAGTTAAATCAAGATTTTTAAAAAAATGTCTTTTTAGATAAACTAAACGAATTTTTTGACCAACCCAATTTTGCATCATTAGTAGCAGTATGCCTTATTAAAATAACTACTTCTTTTTCTCCTCCTACTATAATTACTACTACTACTACTACTAATAATAATAATGCGTTGTAGGCGTAAGACGCTCGGTGTCACGTGATAATTTTGAGTGGATTAGCTTCAATAAAAACAATCATAAACCTGCCTAACTGAAGTGTGAAAACTGAATTATGGCAGTGTCAATTTTTAATGTCATATCCCTCCAGGACGTGGGCGATTTTAGACTGTCGACAGATTTTTCTTTATTATCTGTGAATTGCCTTGCATTCTTGGGAAACATAGTGGAGTGGTTTCCCATTTTCTTCTCCACAGTTTGGGATTCAGAGATTTTTTTTTCAATTAGACTGTTTGAAATCCAAGGCAACTGAGCCAAGTTTATCCTAACATTTAACCCATAGATGCGGGCAGGGAGACGGGACGGATTCATGCTTTCTTCAATGGGCATTTGTTCTAAAATTTGCGCAACAGACTAGCCCGAATCTGAAAGAGAATTTTGGCCGATATACGTTAACCTACCCGCACTTCACGGTTTTTCTGTTTGAATTTTCAGATGGATCTTAATTCTTAATTAAATGAGTAAATAAGCCCTTTGCGAGTTCTACGACCTTAAAGTAACCACGGTCACCTAACCTCTAACATTGTTAAATATTTGAGCTTAACAACTTTAATAAAATATTGCAACAACAGTTATAAATGCAAATGCATGCCATTATTGCAAGTAGTTAGGGGGTAAAAGAATATAGAATATTTCTTAGAGTATTAATGCCACTTATGGTCCGGTGCACCTGCTATATATTTAGAGATTCTTGATAAAATCAAAAGAAGAATCAGCTATATTATTGAACCTGACCTGGCGTCTCGGCTTCAGTCACTTTTCCACCGTCGTAGAGTTGCTTCCCTGTGCTTTTTCTATAAATACTTTCTTGGTAAATGTTCGGATTAACTCTTCGCTATGGTACGTAGACTTTATGAATTTAAGCAAAGTACTAGAATGGTGTCGAGCTTTCATCAATTTACAGTCGAGTTGGCTAGATGGAACCGTAAGTTCTATGCTAACAGTTTCTTTTCTCGCACTTCTCGCTTGTGGAAATCTCCGGCTCCATGCTTTTCAGCCAACTTTAATCTTCAAAAATTTAAATGCAATATCAATCGTTATTTAAGGTCTTCCTGATTACTCTTCTATTGTTCTCACTTCTTAGTAATGTTCCTGTTTTCTAGTTTGTTTTTCACATACAGTAACTGTATATGTCTTAGTGGCTTTACCGCCTTCCTTGGGGGATGAACTCGATTAAAAAACAAAACAAAAAACAATTAAAAAAAAATTGAAGTTGACAAGGTTTCCAATTTCATGGAGCAGACGATAAACACATCGGAGTATTATTACCTCTTCTATCTTCCCATTCTTTCTTTCTTTCTTTTTTTCTTTCTTTCTTTCCTTCCTATACATAAAGCCAAACAGCGCTTTTGATATATCTTTTCTTCCATCTATCCTCGCAATCAAACAGTAACGGTCCATTGTTTATCCGAGGAAATGGCAGAGCGCAAGGAACATTCTAAAGAGCAAGCAGAATATGATAATTACTGAAACACCAGCAACAGTCAGTGTTCGAGGGTAGCTCAAGTTAAGTTAGAGATGTTAATTTTCAGTGCGTGTTATGTTTGTCATAAGATAGAGGCGTGCAAACATTTTCCTTCTTTCTCAAGAATATGCGCAATCATATACTTTTAAAATCCCTGATACCGACAAAATCTTCTAACTCATCTTTTACGGGCTTGCTTTGTGGTTGAATTGAATCAGAGTCTCAGCTTTTAAGTTTTATACATTCGCATGCTTGTAAATCCTGCAATATCGTCTTGGTTTACAGAGTTTGTGAGAGTGAAAAAATTAAGATAGTTGTATGTTTATTTTCAGTGATTGTTAGTTGATGTTTGAGCCTTGTTTTAAGAAAATGTTTCGAATGCTGATTTTCAAGTCTTTCACACTAGGATGATTAGCCCATTGTAGTGTTGTTGATTTTTATAAACAGCAATACATACATTTGCATCTTTAAGTTGTAGCACATAGACGATCATGACTCTCTGAGGTTCTTTTCTTTATTATCTGTAAATTGCTATGACGTCTTGGGAAAGACAGCAGATTGGCTTCCTGTTGCCTTCTCCGAAGTTTTGAATTCAGAATAGATCTTCTAGACTGACTCCCTTTCAAGGCTAGAAAACTCAGTCAACACTACTATTTAACCTATAGCTAGGGAGAGAATAAATAGGCTCATGCTTTTCCTAAAGACATTTGCGCGAAGAAAATGAAAATAAAAAAGACGCTTATATTTAACATGAGAAAGAGACAGTCGAAATTTCTAGGACACATAATGAAGAAAGAGGGCTCGGAAAATTTGACACTCGCAGGACAGATTGAAGGCAAGAGAGACAGAGAAAATCAGTGCATAACCTACCTAACAAGCTTTCGTAAATGGCTAGCAGAGCATATTTTAGGATATATAACAAAAAGACAAAATTTATTAATAGCTATAAATACAAAGAACAGGAAATTGTGAAGAGCCATAAACGCCGACGTCCTAAAGAGATGCAGTATATAGAAGAGGAAGATTGTTGCGTCTCTTCGGAAAGATGTTAGAGTTGCTTTCTTCAGTTTCGAATTCAGTGTAGTTCTTCTCTTAGCTTGGTTTTTCTTAATCAATTCACTCCAAGCAAGGCGATAATGCCACTGAGACGCAAGCGGCTATTGGGAGTGAAAGAGAATGAAAAGACTTTAGAAGGAATCGGAAACACAATCCTAAACAGAAAACGAGGGATATACTTCTATTCCTGTTCGAAAGACCCGGGAGGAGTGCGCACCTAAGAGAATAGTGCCCTGTCTATACTTCTGTTTATCCCATGGCTAGATGGAGAAGACTCGGATTTATGCCTTTCCTTAAAGCATCACAACAAAAGTGAACTTGTATTCCATTTATTGCAATTATATCTGTTACACTACACACACATCAGCTGAGAACGGAATACACAGTTGAAAAACGGTTTATTTGAAGGGAGATGTTACATAGAAGAAGAAGCCCTTTGACGACGTTTAGCAAGCTTGTCTCGCTAAGTCAATTATGACTGAATAGTGAGTTTGACCCTCACTCGGTTTCTCATATTTTCGACCTTGTGTCACATCTAAGCTACGTTTAGAAAAATGGTTAGCAAGCTTGTCTCGCTAGATCAATTACGATTGAGCTGTGAGTTCGATCCTTACTTGCTGCTTCATACTTTCGGCCTTGTGCCACATCTTAACTACGCTTAGAAAACCACCATCGAAGAAGAAGGCCAAAGACGAAACAGGAATTTGAACTCGGCTTGCAAATTCCACTTTCTGTTATGCTATCCGTAGATACATATATTAGGGTCAGGAATAAGTTCTTAGCGCTCCGTTTTTTTTTCAGATTAAATACGCAAAAGTTATATATATATATATATATATATATATATATATATATATTTAAGTGAAATATTTAAAGGTGGGTTCTCATTGATCGACTCCTTCCCTGAAAACCAAATTTAATGCCGGTTGCAAGTCAGATTCTTTAATCATCAAATTATTGTAAAGAAGCTGGATTCAAAAAAATTTCGCTTTTAGCATGGGAAAGAATAAATCTAATATCATAAAAGCTGATGGAAAGGTTTGCTCATACTAAGCAAAAAGAGGGCAGACATTTGTAACACTTTCACAGAGCAGCGAAAAAAGTGACATTTGGTGTAAGTGTATGAACAATCTCTTTCATTCCCTTTTTTTATTTTATCTTTTATTTCTTTTTATCCATTTTTTCTTTCTATTTATCCTCTTTCTTTTTTCGGGAGGAGTGCGCACCTAAGAGAATTTTGTCTTCTGTTTATCCATTAGATGGAGAAGACTATTTATCCTTTCTTTTGAACTTGTATTCCATTTATTGCAATTTTCATTCATCAGCTGAGAACGGAATACACAGTTGAAAAACGGTTTATTTGAAGGGAGATGATTCTTTGACGACGTTTTCTTGTCTTTCAATTATTTGAATATAGTTTTTCATCGGTTTCTCATATTTTCGACCTTGTTCACATCTAAGCTACGTTTAGAAAAATGGTACTCTTGTCTCCTAGATTTACGATTAGCTGTGAGTTTTCTTCTGCTTTCTTTTTCTTTCTTTTAGAAAACCATATCGAAGAAGAAGGCCAAAAGACAGAAACAGGAATTTGAACTCGGCTTTCTTTCTGTTTGCTATCCGTAGATACATATATTTTAATTCTTAGCGCTCCGTTTTTTTTTAAATACGCAAAAGTATATATATATATATATATATATATATATATTTTGAAATATTTAAAGGTGGGTTCTTTTCGACTCCTTCCTGAAAACCAAATTTAATGCCGGTTGCAAGTCAGATTCTTTAATCATCAAATTATTGTTTTGGATTCAAAAAAATTTCTTTTAGCATGGGAAAGAATTCTAATATTGTTTTGGAAAGGTTTGCTCATACTCAAAAAGAGGGCAGACATTTTAACACTTTCACAGAGCAGCGAAAAAAGTGACATTTGGTGTAAGTGTATTCTTTCATTTTTTTATTTTATCTTTTATTTCTTTTTATCCATTTTTTTCTTTCTTTTCTTTCTTTCATTCTTTCTTTCTTTTTTTTTCTTTCTTTCTTTTTTCAATAGTTTTATCTTCTTTCATTTTACTCTTCCTTTTTATAGTTTTTCTTCTTTCTTTCTTTTTATAGTTTTTACTCTTCTCTCTTTTTCTTTCTTTTTATTCTTTTTATCTTCTTTCTTTCTTTTTTACTTTTCCTCTTTCTTTTATTTCTTTTTTCTTTCTTTCTTTGTTTTTTTCTTCCTTTTTTTTTATTTTTTTTTACTCTTCTCTCTTTTTCTTTCTTTCTTTTTATTCTTTCTTTTTATAGTTTATCTTCTTTCTTTCTTTTTATACTTTTTCCTCTTCTCTGTTTTTCTTTCTTTCTTTCTTTCTTTCTTTCTTTTTATAGTTTTTTCTTCTTTCTTTCTTTTTTTGATTCTTTCTTTCTTTTTTATCTTTTTCTTACAAACTTTCTTTCTTTCTTTTGATTCTTTCTTTTATCTTTATACAAACCTTTCTTTTCTTTGTTTTTATTCTTTTTCGTTTTTTATACTTTCTTTCTTTTTTTAGCATTCTTATCTGCCTTCCGTTTTTTTCATTTCTTCCTAAAACTTCACTTTATACTTCTTTCTTTCTTTCTTTCTTTCTTTCTTTCTTTCTTTTCTTTTCTTTTTATTCTTTCTTTCTTTCTAGCGTATCACAATGGTGATCTACTAAGTGGAGCTTAAATGTGGCATAAGGTCGCAAGTGGCACAACGATTAGCAGGTTAGTCTCGCCTATTAATTCGCTAATGTAGTGATTTCAGTCACTATTAGAATTATTAGTAGTGCCCATGTGCCAGGCGAATCTATCTATCTATCTATCTATCTATCTATCTATCTATCTATCTATCTATCTATCTATCTATCTATTATTAGCACTGTATAAGATTGTCTCCAGTTGCCAGGCACTGCTCTCCAAGAGCAAGTGATTTATGAGCTTGAGTCACGACTGCTAAGTGCATTAATCTCCATGGAAAAGCAGCAAAGTCGTCTTCGTAGCATATGTACAATGTTTTATTTGTATATTAAAAACATGTTGGATTATTAAATGTTTGTACCTTATTTTTCGGATATCCTTCAAATTACCGAAATTCAAAAGACACTAAAGGTTAAACATATACAATGGATGATGGCTTTTTGCAAGAAGAAACAAAATAGACATTTACCTCCTACACAGCTTCAGGTTATATTCACGATTTCTTAATTAAATTTGGTGTTTGAAACACTAGAACGTATTTTGTTATTGTGGTATGTTTGATTTAATAGAAGTTAGGACTTTTATAAAAATTGTTAGATAGATTTCCTTACATTTACGAAGCCGAGCCGAGCCGAGCCTAGTAAAGAAGAACTCCAAATAGAGAAAGAAAGATTGAGTTACGCCAAGCTAACAATTGGAAATAACCTGCTGAATTATTTACATTATTCGGACTATTCTTTTTCGCCATATCTATCACAATGTACGCTCCGGCCTTCTTCAGGTATGGAATGTCGAACCGAACCATTTATTTCGCTCATTGGGGTAGACTTGGTTCCACGTGCCATGTCAGTTATCAGTTATCTCCTGTTAATTTTCCTCTGAAAGTTCTCCACTGCTTTAACCGGGTATTGAACTCACACTCTTTCGGTCCTGTCACTGGACCTAACCAACATCTTTATCCACTGAGCCATGTGTCTTTGTGTCTGGATATGAATTTCTGGGTATTATAAACTTAATGTCTTCAGCAACCATTTTTACCAGTGCTTATATTGCAATTTTGCTGTTATCATTTCACGTTTTTACCAGAGCTCATATTGCAACTTTGTTGTTATCATTGCTTTTCTCTGGCATTCCTTATTACTGGTTCCCATATTGTATTTATTTCTATGCTTGGTCGGCTCAGGAGATTTTTGTGGCCTAACATATGTGCTGATTCCTTAAGTTTACGAATTTTTCAAGGGTGTTCCTTGTCTATGATTTCAACATGATCCCACAGAGGGTGGTGATCTCCCTTCTCTTTCCATATGTGGTCAGCCACGCCTGATTTTTTTTATTTTCCCTCGTGTTATAGCTTTCTGGTGTTCTTGAAGCCTTACCTTGAGGGAGCGGCCTGTCTCTCCTTTATATTCCTTTCCGCAGCTGCATGGGATAGCGTACACACAGTCTTTAGTCATGTTGTCCTCTATGGGGGGTCTTACTCGGGAGATCTGCGAAGTGTCGTCAAGCTTTTGAAGGTTGTCCTAATGTTATATGGACCGCAGATCCTTTGTATTTTCTCTGATAACCCCTTCACATAAGGCAGGCAGACTGTTTTCTGAGTGTTGTTGTCCTCCTCCTCTTGTACCCGCCTATCTCAGTTTTGGGGGGCTGCTGCCATGTACCCAGGGTAGTTGTTACGTTGTAGGGTACTACTTATACTGACCAATTCTTTATCTAGCATCTCTGGGGCGCCCACTTATGACTTTTGCTCGGTGTTGTAAGCAACGGACGATCCTTTTCTTTACGCTGTATGGATGGTGGGAGTTGAAATTGAGGTACTGTCCGGTGAATGTCGGTTTACGGTATACGGATATCTTAAACCCATGCTCTGTTCGAGATATTAGAACATCCAGGAATGGGAGTGAGTTGTTACTCTCTTTCTCCATTGTGAACTGTATCGAAGGTCTTATTGAGTTCACATGGTCCAGTAGAACCTGAACATCTTCCTGGTGTGGCCAGAGTATGAAGGTGTCATCTACGTACCTTAGCCATATAGTTGGCTTTAGAGATATAGATTCTAATGCCATTTCCTCAAAGTATTCCATGTATATATTCAACATTGCTGGTGATAATGGCGAGCCCATTGCTAAGCCCTCATCCTGTCGATATATGTGTGATCCCATTCCGAAGTGTGTTGTTTGTATACAGAAAGTCAACATCTCCATCAGATTATCTATTGGAATACTGGTCCGTTCTTCTAGGGAAGAGTCAGAGGTCAATCTGTTTCTGACTACTGAGAGTGCCTCCTCTGTGGGTACCTTGGTGAACAAACTCACCACGTCCAAGCTCACCATCTGGTTGGATAGGAGGGGAGCATCTTTGATTATTTCCACGAAGTGGGCGGAGTTTCGGACATATGAAGGAGACTTTCCGAACAATGGGTCAATTATATCTACAAGGAAGCGACTCAGAGGGTGGCACACCGAGCCTTGGCAACTAACAATCGGCCTGAGCGGAATACCGTCTTTGTGAATCTTAGGGAGATCGTATATGTGAGGTAGCTTGGTATAACGCTGCGATAACTGCCTCTACGTCTTAGGTGCGAAGTGATCGTTGTTCTTGATTAGGATCTGTGACAGTTTGCATTCCGTTTTCATAGTAGGATCCTTCTTCACTACGCTGTAGCTACCATTGCAAATGAGGTCTTCCAGTTTTCTTGTATAATCTGATTTGTCCATCACTACAGTCGCATTACCTTTGTCAGCCGGTAGTATGATGATGTTTTCGTTCCTCTGTAGTGATTCAATCGCCAGTCTCTCCAGTTTTGTTATGTTAGCCCTGGGCAGTTTGGCTCTCTCCAAGGTATGTCTTACTTTCCATCTCAGTTCATCCGCCTGAGCCTGAGCCTGAGAGATGTTCAAGGTCACCTCCTCGGCTCTGGCAATGATGTCCAAGTATGGCACTTGCCTGATGGTTGTGGCGAATTTGAGACCCTTATTCAATACTGACTCCTCAGAGGCACTCAGCTGATATTGGCTGATGTTGACTACTGCTTTCACTGGAGGGTGATGGACCTTGTGCGTCACCTTCTGATCTTTCAATCTATTTAATTTTTGCACTTGGCGAGCCTTGACTACATCAAATTCATGCCTGAAGGATTTGTCCAGCTCATTTCGGATCCTTCTCTGGTCTTCTTCATTAGTAATTCTGTTGAAGAAATCCTCGAGCGTCTGGGAGATATGCGATTGTAGTCGCTGTTTTATCCAACGATTGTACTGGGTTCTTTCTCGGACAAGGGCGTGTCCCGCTTTCTCTGCGACCCGACGAGCTCTCCTTGAATTGATGGGAAGTCTTGGTGGCAAGCCTGAAGGGATGAGTTGTAGGTCTCTGCGTTGTGATAGATATGGCGAAAAAGATGAGGACAATAGTCCGAATAATGTAAATAATGTACATAATACCTCATCTCAGAAATATAGACAGACCTGCTGAATTGTTTTCGAATATCAAAAAAAAAAAAAAAGCAAGTATGCAGATGAATACAATTTTGTGTGAGTGTAGTATGTGATTAACGACAGGAAATACGAGAAGTCTGAATCGAATTTAATGTCAATAAGAAACGTTTGATCTAAAAGGAGTTGAAGAGTTTAATTTTATTGGGAGCTTGCGTAATTTCTTTTACAAAAATGTATTGTTGGTATTTTTTCTTAAAAAATATATTGTTGGTATTTTTACTATAAAGATGCATTTTTATATTTTTTTGACACATGTTTGAGGTTTAAGTAGCTGGGACCCTAACACGTGCCACCATTCAGAGTCAAGGTGGAGCTGAAAAGCGCAGCAATTAAGAGGTGGTTCCACGAGCCTCAAAACCTCCCGAGAAGAGGCGTTGCTGCCGGATGTAGTTTATCGTCAAACCCAGGACAGTGAGTTTTGAATTTACTATATGGCTTAGGGTTCAATTAAAAACGTATTCAAGTTTAATTTATGATTCTAAAACCTAAAAAAAAGGACAAGATCTGTTAATCTGTTGACCTGTATTAATTGTTGTACGTTTCTAGCATGGACACATTTAAAAATAAGTATACATCAAAGTGCTTTTATATTTATGAATATTATAAGTATTTTTTACCTTCTGGAAACATAGATGGGCTAATGAAGCTCACTGTTTAGCCTTTAAAATTATTACCTGTTAAAAGTTTTTTTGCTTGCTTTTTAGATTTTAAACACGTCACGAATTTTGTATTTCAACTTTCTGCTAAAATTAGTTCTGTATTTTACAATTTAATTTCGGTTAAATTTTGAAAATCTTATTTTTGATGCAGACAAAGTCAAACGCTACTGAAGCATGATCACGGATATAATTATAGACAATTTGTTACGTTAAACCTATAGATTACCTTGTTTGATAGGTGTTGTTGCTGTGTAACAAGCAGGTTTTTACAGACGGACACACTAGGCTTATGTCTTAGTAGTTTTGAATTCGGAGCTGTTCTTCTAGACTGGTTACCTATGCTAGAGGGTTTAGTCTGTGTTGCAATTAACCCATGAATGGGTGCAGAAAGGAACTGATATGACTTGCTGTCACTTAATATGTGGCTTGGTTTGCTTGCTTTTTTGTTTAGTAACATATCAACCCGTATGGTTTATTTAATGCCTAAATATGAAAATCCAAACTTTATAATTATTTAATGATTAAATTACAATTATTTAGCTGTTTTTTTTTATCAAATAATCTTACAGAATCAAACCAGGAGTGAAAACTTATTTCCCCTCCAAGATCAATCTAATTTAATCATAGCAATTTTTTTTTTCATTTTCTTTTGACAATGTAAGCCATATCTTTAATTTTTTTATAAGATTGATTGTCATTTTGCTATAAATACGTATTGTTGGTTATTATACTATAAAATGTATTATTGTCAATATGTTGTTAAAATGTAATGTTGGTAATTCTACTCGAAAATGTATTGTCGGTCATTTTGCTATAAAATGTATTATTAGTAATTATACTATAAAATGTATTGCTTGTATTTTTACTATAAAAATGTATTTTTTATACTTTTCTAGTGTTTTGATTTTTATCTGGGGATTCCATATTTTCCCATAGCTGGGGCCCTAACAGGTGCTACTACCCCAAGTCACAGTGAACCTGGGGACAACAGCAATTAAGAGGTTACCCCACGTTCCTTAAAACCTCCAATACCCCGATA